TATAAACTATGATAAAAGTTCATCAGCATGCATTGATTAATCCCTTAATCCCACATAATTAAGCCCTGATATATGTGCAATATTTTAACCGAGCCCTCACTAACAGAGTTTAATGCCACAGTTATGTTAGAACGCATCTCATTCTTGTTTCTGTGGCGGTGTGTCGGGCTCATCATGGGGCGCGTGGTCCGGAGCACTGTATGACAGATGTAACGTTATCCGTTTAATTTAAAATTACTCCAAATATATGAACTTACCTGTTTTAAATACTTTATATTTAACATGTTCGTTTATGTCCAATATTTAGTGTTTAACTGTTGGTCTTTAAAATAAATCTACTTTTGATTTTCACCGTTGACGGATTTTGCAGACCTTTTAGACGGATAACTTCCGTGCGTCGATGCGGCAAACTTGTCAAAGGACACGCGGTCCTAAAAGCAATGTATGACTGTTGTATCCGAATATATATACAGGTACATCTCAGTTTAAAACACCAAATAGTTATGAAATAGCCTATGACAAATACAGAGAGTCTCTCTCTTGCCCCCACCCACCCATGCACGATAATATCTATCGGCGATCTCACGGACTGGCAATATGACACTAAGTCACATTTTCACATTCAGTGCAGCTAGATCACGGTTTACAGTCATACAAAAATATAAAACATCACTGTTCATTTACCTTGATATACACTTATCAAAACCCAGATCAGGAAGGTCTTAAAGGACAGGGAGCGACCCTAGTGGAGGGAAAACCAAAGTCAGCATCACTGTCATGCAGCAAACAAACTCATGCCTTCATTCCTGTAACTTATATCAAGTGTATCATGCAGATACTCGAGCTGGTTAGCTCTGATCAAGTCTGCTATGTTGTATATTTACCTTTATGATGACACAAAGTAAAAATTTTTAATATTTAATCAATTTTATATAATAAAAATAATATCAATATAATAATAAAATTATATAAACATCAATATTAAAATTAATCCTTAAATTATAATGTTTAATATGATCAATATTGCAAAAATATTAAATTTAATAATATTGAATATAAAAACATACTGTATTACAGTAGTGAGAATCTAACAAGAGTTTCAGCAATTAGGGTAAAGGGAATTACACACAAAAAATTTAACACCTACACATTCTGTTACTGAGAATTTTTTTGTGAGGAAAAAATTATTCATTAAAAATGAATTAAAAGTGACAGGAAAATAATCTATGTTAATGAGAAACACCTCACCTTCCCTTCAATACCGATACCGCAGTCTGCTGCTTGGATCATGCTGACATCATTTCCTCCATCACCTGAGCACAGAGATAAGAAAGATGATAGCGGGAAAACATGGGAAGACACTGTGAAGACAGTCATCTTTACCGCTCTCAAAGATTCATGTGCATGGAGAGAGTTCAGTTTAAGTGGGTTTTGTCTTGGCTACTGGATGATGGGACTTAAAGCTCAACAGATTGAGGCGAGAAGTGGAGAGGACTGACCTATGGCACATGTTCTGTTGTCTGTATTCTGCTGTAACAATCGAACGATCTGAGCTTTCTGCGTGGGAGAGCAGCGACAGCAAACCACAGAGGGACACTGACACGCCAGCTCCACAAATTCATGCTCGTAGTAGCGCAGACAGACCTGATGGGCCACACATAATCAGTGTGCGAAAGTCAAACCTGATCATACATGATTTTGTTGAATATATGTAAAGTCAAGCTTTTTTTTTTTACCTCTAGAGAGTCTCCTGAGATGACCAGCGCACAGTCGTGCTTCCTCCTGAAGGCGTTCAGCTCCAGATGAGCCTCGCCCCTGTTGGACACCTGCCACAAAAACACCATAAAGCATTCACACGAATTCCAATTCACTTAAAAATCCAAATAACCAGTGGTTCTGATCCTACCGGTTTGAAAACGTGGATGTCTTGATTTCTAGAAACTAAGTGGGAACTTTTGGCGATACACGTAGCAGTTTCCAGCTTGTCTCCGGTCAACATCCAGATCTGAAACATGAAGAAGAACCAAAAAGTTAATATTAAATGCTCAATATGCATAATATTGGCATGGTGTTTGGGTGTTCACATATTTTTGTCCACATATTGCATGTGTACCTTGATCCCTGCATTGCGGAGGAGCTCTAGTGTGGGCCGGACATCGACAGTTTAAAGTCATACAAAAATATCACTGTTCATCCATTTACCTTGATATACACTTATCAAAACCCAAATCAGGAAGGTCTTAAAGGACAGGGAGCGACCCTAGTGGAGGGAAAACCAAAGTCAGCATCACTGTCATGCAGCAAACAAACTCATGCCTTCATTCCTGTAACTTATATCAAGTGTATCATGCAGATACTCGAGCTGGTTAGCTCTGATCAAGTCTGCTATGTTGTTACCTTGGTGAGGTCTTTATAGAGTTCAGGATACAGCAGAGCCATCTCAGGCTTCACATCCTGGTCCAACACCAGAGAAAAGACAGGGAACATGGTGTAGATTGTGGCGTAACTAGAAACAAATAGACATAATGTTAGGAAATGTGACATCATGTTCAAAGGCACCTATGATGTCCAAAATTACGGTGTAGGTAGGCAGCTCACTAGTTTTGTGTGAACCAGCCTTTACTTACCCCACCATGAGGAAACCTTGGTATAGAGGAACAGATGCGAAGTAGAAAATAGAGGAAAACACAGCCTGAGAGGAAAGACACAAATTCAAATGAAGATGTTAGCACTTCAAATCAAGAGGCTGCACAGCAGCAACATAATATGATGATTTTTGTGTTGAGAGAAAACAGATTTACTGTAATGACTCTGGGAACTATATCACTACAGAAGTGGAAATATACATGTGGCTCTTCACACTGTGTATGTTACCTGCATGGTGGAGATGATCATGCCACGGTGCATGACAAACTGGCCCAGAGCTGCTGAGCGTTTGTAGCTGTTGCGGCCGTGTACCATCAGCAGTCTGCCAATGTGTCCATCTCTCTCTCCAGACTCTCCACCACTGCCGCCACCTTCAGAGCGCGATCATGGATACTCAACTTCGCCTGGTTATATCGACTCTGAAAAGACAGAAATAGATCAAATGTGTGCTAAGTTATGAGGATTTTAAACTTGCCTTGATTCAGTAGCAAAAATGGCGTAACTGTTGGTTAATTTGATTAGAGTTGCTTATAAATCAGTTCAAACTGACCATTTAAATTAATCAATTCCAAACTCTGATTCAATGATTTGTTTGCAACATCAACATAATCGTTCAAAGAGGTTTCCAAGTGACATTTTTCATACTGTATATTAAATGGTCTTGAAAATGTCCTGTAAAAATGTTGTTTATTACAAATTACACTACTGTTCATAGGATTAGGGCTGGCGAGATTTTATCTTTGAAAGAAATTAATACATTTATTCAGCAAGGATGCATTAAATTGATCAAAAGTGTCAGTAAAGACATTCATAAAATTAAAAAAAATCTATTTCAAATAAACTCTGTTCTTTTAAACTTTTCAAAATATCTTTCTTGAGCACCAAATCATAAATACAATGAATAAAATCAAGATATAACGAAATAATAACTGATGAAAATTCTGCTTTGCCATCACAAGAATACATTACATTTTAAGATAAATTAAAATAGAATACACCTAATATTTCACAATATTACTGTTTTTATGGCATTTTTTCAGCCATGGTGAGCATAAGAAACCTTTCAAAAACATACAAATTTTTTACAGCCCCCAAACTCCTGAAGAGTAGTGTGCAAGTATATTGGTTCTATATGTATAAAAGTGATTATATTTTAAAGTGAATATATTTTTCCTTGTGAGTTTTCCTTGAAAACAAAAAAATGTTCTTTAATATTTAAAGAACACTTATTATTAATAGAACACTTTAAGTACTTACTCGATTCCACAGCAAAAACTAGTAGTATAACTAATAAAGGTCAAACATTTTAAAAACAAGTGAACTGTCAGTAAAAAATAAAATAAAATAAACACCTCAGTTGAAATCTTGGTTTGGGTGGGTCCAGTGGCACCTAGATCTGACTGAAAGGGCTCTTAAGCTTCGGCGAAAGGGGCAGGGGCTTGAGCCAGAGTGCATGTGTCGACCTCTTGCATTCACGCATGCGTTCGACTGTACACATACACTAGTGTACACGTACAAAAAAAGTAGTATACTTTGGGCTTAACAGACGGACTCCAAAAAATACCTTTGAATATGTAATTTAATCACGGGTGGGAGGACCTCATACCAATCACAGAGAATCCCACCGACAAAAAGAGTACAACAGTTTATATAGAATAGGTGCATGGCAAAGTTGACATGATCTTACATCATTTTTCTCTATTATAACTGGTTCTTCATATGTGTAAGA